TTATTGCCCCCATGTCTCTTTTTTTGTCACTTCATCTTTTTTTTCTCTCTCTCTCTGTTTTAAAGGTGAGCAGCCATTCAGAGCCTTCGTCCCAGTCGTTGAGCCTCCAACAACCTGCTCAGCCTCCTCCCCCTCCCCCTCCTCCCCCGCAGCCTCAGTACGGGTTAGCGGTCGCGGAGTCACGGGACAAGCAGCTCTGTTTCTCAGACTTTGAGGACCTCAGCGCTTCTTTCCGCAGCCTCTACAAGTGCATCTTTGAGCAGCCCTTCTCACAGCCAGGTGGGTGTCAGCCCTCGCCGCGGATTAGTGTGACGGCTCGGGCGAGCACGTCCCGACGTCYGAAAGAGTGCCCGTGTGAACAGGAAAACAATTGTAAACCTCTTGTCAGGCTTCACGCTCGTAGTTAACTGGCACGCTTAGACCCACGATGCAATTCACACAACTCAACTGCTGCTTTCATGAGCAGCCTTTCAGCATTAACCTCCACCAAACGCTACTCCTGCTCTGCTGTATTTAAATAAACAAACAACCCGTTGTTCCGCATATCTGCATTTTACGACTCGCACAGTCAAATGAGTAAAGGCAATTAAGAGGAAGAATCCAACAGGAGAAAAACACATCTTTAGCCGAGCAGAGAAAGGAGTTCTGCAGCTTTGATAGCAGCTAATTAGATTGGTTCTAAAGTTTGTGAAGCATCTCTCTAATTGCTTCCTGAAGCTTTCAGGTCACCAGGCCTCCTCCCTCTAGGACCCCCACCCCCCCCAACACACACACACCCACACACACACCACCCCCTACTACCTTGTTCCTCTTACTATCCCCACACACACCCATGAATTTGTAACTGAGGAGATTGATGCGCTCTGTTGAGCTCTACTGTTTGAATTCACCGTCTGACAGGGTCGCCTTCAGTTTGTGGTCTAGGATGCAAACGGGGAAAATAAAAACTGAAACAATGAGAAGAGTGAAAAACAAAAGTAGTTATGTTGCACAAATATAGATGGAGAGGTTTACCTGAGAAGTCAAGTAGGAAACAACTGCAGCAGTTGTGTTTGACTTTGTAAGTCCCAGTGCTTTAGCAGCTTATTGTCTTTATAATAATGAGTCCAAAACYACACAGCAAACTGTATCTGTGTTAGGTTGTGTTGTCTTGTTACAACAACACAAAAACAATCTAAAAATTCATCTTAATTATGGACTTTTCCTCTGCTTTTAATACTRTAAATATTGACATTCTGCTGCACTGCGGTCAGAACCTGCAGGTCCACTCAACCCTGATTTTATGGATAAAGAACTTTTTAACAGATAGACCACAGCAGGTGTTTTTAAATGGTTTTAAGTCTGGTAAATTGGTTTATACTCCGTKTATACTTGGTGCTTACTTTGGTGTAGTATACTCTGAAAGGACATAGCAGTGCGTTATAACATGAAATCTTGTAAAAAGGGGAACAAAAGCTCGACGGACAAACAAAGCATTTGAATGTGCAGGRGTGGGGAAGGAACGATTGCATCACTATTGGCACACGTACTCTTACGCCCTGTTGATTTGATTTGATTTATTGATTTAACAGGAAAAGATCACTAAAAATCAAGCCTGACTCAGCAWAATTGCTGTTTTACAGCAGGTTCCTTTTCTGCAGCACATAAAACACTCAGAAATACAGCATCACAATCACATCATTAYACACCATAGACACAAAGACAAACAAGCATACCAAATTTCAGGAAGGCAGCATTTGCAAAATAGGACGTCTAAATATGAGCACAACAAAAAGTGTGCAGCAGATGGCAGACAAGATTCTTCTTAAAGAGCTGTAGTTTATGTATGTTGTACATAATGAATGTATGTTTTGAGGAATGTCATTCCATGCTTTAGTATAAACATAGAAGAAATTGCGTGTGTTCATTGCGTCAACTATGAAACTAGCTTTAAAGCTAAAAAAAGAACACAAACTAAAAGTAAAAAAATGCTAAGTATAAGCTAAAAGCAGCAAAAAATGCATGTAAGCAACAAAAGCTGGGGCTAGCTAAAATCTTAAAGTTGCAAAATGCTAGCTAAATGTAGTAGTAACGTAACTCAAAACTAAAAGTAGCACAAGAAGACAAAAACTGAGAAAATATAATCAGAGTTCAAAAACAATATTTTTGAAGAAATTGAAATGATCTCGGTGTTTTTCAATGAGGGAATGCTGTTAATAAAGTTAACTTTTTAAAAAAGTATAAACATTTCCAACATTATGGCATCCACCTCCTGAATGAGCTGAACATTTTCAGATAATGGTTAAAATAGCACAAATTTTGCTGAAGTTCTTAGACTGCAAAATATGTGCAGAAAAAAACAAACAAACAAGACAACAATAGTCTGAATGCTGAACCAGCATTTACACAATTAAAAAGAAAAGAAAACAGTTTTTGTAATGATGGATAGAGATGAAAACAAACATTTACAGAAAGTGCTGAATAAGCATGTAAGAAATGAATTGTTCCTAAAAACACTTGTAAGAAGATAAAGGTGTAACAACTCCCATGTGGCAGCAGTAAGACTCAGTTAGCCTCTTGATCATGTTGTTGTGATTTGTCTGTGCAAAAAGAGAAAAAAGACTATTTACATAGTTTTCAGTCTATTCTTTTTTTTAGGGGGAGTGAAAAAGAGAGAAAACAGCAGATGAAAAAACTCACATGAAGAGACATTTATTAAAAGACTGTACTGCAGGAAAACAGTTTCTGAAAAGGTCCCTGGAGCTCTGTGTATTCAGTCTGTTTGGATTTGAAATGAAAGTAGATCCAAAATTTTAYTTTGAAGGTTTTTATCCATGTTTACTATGAGAGACAGTCTAGAACCAAGACTAAAATTCTTTCATTTTCATTACAGTATGACTTATTACTGTAAACATGTTTAATTTTTAATTGAGTCTATTGTATGTTTTTCTGACATGATGATCATCATCTTGTTTTTTTTTTTTATTTTCTGTAGTGTCTCATATCAATAAGACCAAAGTTTTTTTTATTTATTTATTTTTTCTGATAGTTTGATACTTGTAAATTTTTATGAAAGACTCAGGAGCAAAACTCTAAATTAAAAGGGTTAGTTTGCTTATTATTTGATTTTGTTGCATCTTTTAAAATTTGTGTCCTAATTTTTGACAGGCCTGATGAGCATGCCGAGTGACTCTAGTCAGCAGGCTCGGACCGCCTGCTCATACCAGCACTCTCCGGGTGCAGGAAGCAGCAGCGCCCACCACCACCAACACAACCACGCCCAGACGTCGCACCACGCTCACCACCCTCACCTGTCACCTCACCAGCACCAGGTGCATGGCCAGCATGGCCAGCACCAACAACACCCCTCTCTGTCCCACCAGAGTCACGGAGTGCAGACCTGCTCCACAACAGGTGAGAATACAAATGGCAGTTTGGCGTTTTTTTTTTGTTGTTTTTTTCAGTTTTAGTAAAGAACCCTTTTAATAATTTACAAACTTTTACATTTCTGACTTTGGTTTTATCTGATTCAGAGTTTATTGGAAAATAACTAAAAACACGTGTGGAGAGAAGTGTTCTGTAAATAAGCTTAGTTAAAATGTAGACTGCATCATTGATCAAAAACTTTAACATATTATTCAATTCAGTATAGCTGGTAGGACTGTGCAAACACACATGAATCCAAAATGCAAAAAAAAATAAAATAAAATACAAGCTTTGAAATAACAAAAGTTAGAAATAAGAATTGATGAAGATAAAATATACACTGCTGGCCAAATAAAAAAGTCACCACCAAAAAAAAAAGTCTCACACTCTAATATTTGCACCACGTTTAGCTTTGTTTACGTTCGCTGTGGCATTGTTTCGATAAACTTCTGCAACGTCACAAGATTTATTTCCATCCAGTTTTGCATTACGTTTTCACCAAGATCTTGCATTGATGATGGTAGAGTCTGACCGCTGCACAAAGCCTTCTCCAGCACATCCCAAAGATTCTCAGTGGACTCTGTGGAGCCAATCCATGTGTGAAAATAATGTCTCACACTCCCTGAACCACTCTTTCACAATTACAGCCTCATGAATCCTGGCATTGTCATCTTGGAATATGCCCGTGCCATCAGGGAAGAGAAAAATCCTTGAATAACCTGGTCATTCAATATATTCAGGTGACCTCATTCTTTGAGCACATCCTGTTGCTGAACCTAGACCTGACCAACTGCAGCAACCTCACATCGTAGCACTTTAAGTCCATGTGGCAACTTTATTTTGGGCCAGGCAAGTGTAAAATAAATTAAAATAACAATAAAAATAAAAACAAATAAAAATATTAATGGAACGGTGAAAAATAGAAATACATGTATACAGAAACATATAAGTTAGAAATACTTCAGATTATTAGTTTTGTAGTTTGTTCAAAATGACCRCCTTTATAAATCTGCACCTCCTCAGAGATGATCAAATGTTTGCTTCCTTGATATTTTGAAAATGTCAGTAGTTTTCATGGGGTCTGTTTGTACTCTCGCTAATCATCCATGAAACAGCCATTCTTCWTCATCACAGTGGGACAAAATTTATTATTTTTACTAAAATCAGAATTTAATGTAATTAACACACAAACACCAACCGCAAGTTATAAATCTGCCCACTGATTTGGAATTTGGAAAAAGACACTCCTTATATTCCAGTTAAGCAGTTGTAGTTGGATATGAATGTGTTAACTAAAAAATGGAAATGTTTGACTACTTTGGCACCACTTTGTGGTGTCGTTTTTGTCTGTAGCGGCCCCCCTAGTGTTAGACTTGGAAAAGCTCCACACCAGCATATTGTTGTAGGAAAAATCCCACTGTTTCTGAGTTTGGTGTGCTAAACGGCTCCACAAACCATCAAATTTGATTACCATCCCTGTTCACATCATAATGCAAAAAGACTAAGCATCAAAGCAGATAATAAACACCATAACACTCATGGAGTTTAGTGTAATGTTGTCATTTTGCAGCTTTATCTTGTTACTGAACTGCTTTAAATATGCACAGTAAAAYAGTTTGTTTAGTGTACACGAGCCGTGGGCGTAACCTCCTTCATGTGGTGTCTTAAAGWCTCATTAACAAGAATAGTCATGTTTTTTTTAAAGCAGTAAGAGAATAACTTATGATTAGGACTTTAGGGTCTTGGTGCCCAACATACCCAATTCCATTTATGGTCATATATCGATGCATTTAATTCTGTGGACAAAGACACCTAAAATTTTCTTTCACATTGATGCAGTTCAGCACAAACAATGCTTCCACATCTGCTCAGTCCCAAAGCCACAGTGTTGTAAAGAAAATCCACCCAGCACATAAACCTGTCTGTGCCCAGATATATTACATTTATATCATATTCTTTTGCCCATAAGGTCACAGGGTACAGCATTTAATATTGTGAAGCTGGGCTAATACAAATCTTCACCAAGGATTCTCCTGCTCATATTTCCAGTCAGTCCTCTTTTTTTGTTCTTTTCTACATCCCTGCAACAGAGTAACATTATTTATGCTGTTTGTATTCCTCTTAACCCAGCTGAGTTTGAGTTAAATCAAGCTCTCTTTATATGATGTATGGCTTCAGAAAGTACATAGCATCATTGTCTCCCGCCCCCCAATGCAAATCTGCTGTTGTAATTTCTCCCGAGTGAACGCATACCACCTTGTGGCTGTTTGCAAAATAGACAAGACATGTTTTATGTTTCTAATAAACATGAATTATTTTACCAGCTTGGCTCATTTTAGGCCCAGGCCTTGGATTATGATGACCTGAATAAATGAGAAATTATACTGGCCTAAAATAATAAGTCTAGAAGTAAAACGTCAGTACAATACAATATGATACAATGTATGTTGGGATATTGCAACAATAAACTGAAGAAGCCTTAATATGTTTTTCTTTTTTAAAACATATTTACTACCTTTTTCCTGCTTTTACACAAGTTAAAAATTAAAAATATGTAAAACCTTCTTTTGACTTCTCCCTTAAGGAATAGCCTTAGCAGAATTTTGCTCAGCATCCTCCTGTCTCACATTAACCCTCTGCAGTTCCTCCCTAACTACATCTACCAGTACCAGCTTTTTATTTTGCCTTCTATTATGTTCAGCRTTTTCTGTCCAATATTGTATTATTAGTCCAAAGCTATTCCTCCTCGGTACATTTCCAAACAATCTCAGCCTCTTCTGTATCTTCCAATTTAATATCCTCATTGCTGCACTTGTMCATTTTGGCCACTTCTAGTAAAAATCCCAACTTCTTCATATCTGTCTCCCCTTTTTAGGGCAATTTTCACTGATCTGCAGCAGTTGAAGACAGGTTCAAAACTGTGAGAAAATAGTTAGATTTTCGGTCAATGTCTCGCTGAAATCTGTTTGCACCCAACCAACCTGTGAGACGTGAAGCCGTGCTTTGCACCACCAGTTTTTGAAAATGGCTTGTTTTACTGTGTGAGGCTCACAAAGCTGTACTTTGGGCTGTGCACATTATTTTGTTGCCCACATTGTACCCACCTTGGTGGCCATCCTGACATTTATGGATGAATCTTCTGGAAAAAGCTTTTGAAATGAAGATTCACACAAACAAACAAATGTTATATATTCAACTGTGTGGTTTTTAGACTTCAACATTTAGGCCTGTAGTCTCTCATAGGAGAGCCCCCATGCATGCGTCACACTAAATGGGAAGAAATTAAACGAAGCTGTTTGATTGATAGCTTATGTACATTTGAAAAGCTTTAATTGGGGTAACATTTTTAAGTAAATTTATGCAAATAATTATCATCTAATTATTTTTTTTACCTTAAACCTCTTGTAAGACATGCAAATGAAAAACAAATTACTTCAAGTGCTTCAGTGTGAAAAATCTTCCATTAATGCCCTTAAAGCTGTCAAGCATAACTTTACAAGTGACAGTTTGTCATTGGATAGATCTACCATTTTTATCTGTGAAGCCATTCTGTTAATTATACTTGTAATTTTGTGTTGGAAAAGCTGATATCAAAAGTGGTAAATTCTTTTAAATTGTTGCACTTGGGGATAAAGCTCCTCATACACTGTGTTAGGTCATTCAAAAAAATGYGATTAAATGTTGATCTAAGGAAGGTGTTTGTTGCTGTTTCTCAGGCATGTCGTCAGACTGGTACCCCAACCTGGACTGGCTGAAAGAGAGCTGCCGCATTGCTACCAGCTACAACTGGGCTGATGTAGAYCTCTCCCCGTTTCAAGGTTACACACTCGCACAAGCACACGTACACACACTTGGAGAGTCCTCATTTCATCATCGTGACCATTTGAGATAACGGCTGATAAAGCAGCATTCTTTGTCATCCCAAAGAAAGCCAATTAACTGTTTTTAAATCAGATCAGTTCTCTTGATTAAACCATTGTTTCCACCTTTATGTACGCTCACTTTTTGAATAATGCCCATTGTTGTAACAGCACCTGACCAATAAAATAAAAAAGCATTATCTTGCATCAGAAAGGCTGCCACTTTTTTTTTTCTGTGGCTCACACACAGACATACACACACAGGTTGTCTTGCGCCCTCCTCTATTGTATGATGTGAATAATCCAATTAGGTCTTGACTCCCTAACAGCCCATTATCATGGTCAGCGCACAAAGCAGGCTACAGCCACACACAGCTGTTGAAGAAGGCTGGTCCTGTAACACACAGGCTGCTGTTGGCTCTCTCTCTCTTTTTTTTTTACTTCCCTCACGCTGCTGTCCTCCACTGTCGGTAGCTCGCCTCCAAACAGCAGGGATGGAGCCTCTGTTGCACACAAACAAAAAGGGCTTAAATGTAATTAAGAGACACTAGTAGACTGTATGTTTTAGCTGTGTATATTTAGAAATAAATACAAAAAGAAGGCATTGAGGTTTAGTGTTGGGTGATTTGTGGTTTGAAACTTAATCAATTTGTCACGTTAGTGAGTTTCAACCATTGATCCCTTCACCGTACGTGACCTCACAATTGTAAATCGGTTATTTGCGTTTGGTCAATCAGTGGGTTATTGTTGTTAATTTTTTTCTAGTTTGAAATAAATTAAATTAGACTTTCTCATCTTTAAAGTTACAGTAATTATGAAGCAACACTTGGCCTAGTTAATGAGCGCAGGTCTTCAGACGATTTGCCTTGGCATTTACATGTTTTTTTCATTTGCCTCAGTCATCTGCTTCTTCTCTGAGTGATGTCCAGCTTTGGTACTAGCAGTTGACTGAACATGATTTGGAATGTCAGACCCTGATGAATCATATTACAGAAAAAAAAAACATGTCAACACATTTGATGCAGAAGGCCTTGGAGAAAGTTGAGTCGGAACCTGGTTAAACTCTAGAAATTCTAGTGTAAATAMACCAGTTTGGGCTTTATCTCAATAAGATATCAAGCAGCACCTTCTCATCAGTGCAAGACACACACATTTGTTTTTCTAGGCAAAAAGAAATTTAAAGTTGAACAAACTTTAGTACAAATTACAGGATACAGGATTCTTTGATCAATGACAGTAAGTCAGTTTAGACTTATATCTACAGTAATTAAAAAAATAGCTTTGTAGCCAGTAACAAGCTGAAAAAAGCAATTGTCAAAGTACGACCCCAGGYCTTTGAACAAAGTATCAAAAGCAATGATTTGAACCCAATCAAAAGTCTCCAAAAATGTTTTTTGACACAGCCTTTATGAAGTCTGACATGTGGCATAGAGCTATACAGTTACAATAAATTTCATGGCATCAAAACTTTAAAACAGGCTTCACCTAAGTACGGAAAAAAGTGTTTAAACTGGAAACATTTAAATTAATTATTTAACAATAAATCTGCAATCTAAAAAAGGTTCAGTAGATCCTCTTTACAGCTTCTTTTTTGTTGAAAYGTTTCAACGAAGAMCTTGTTCAGAGGACCTGCTCAACCCTGTTCTTTTAAAGATTTTTCTACCTGGACKGTTGAGATGCATCAGGAAATTAACTTTGCCACAAAAACAAATCTTTATYGTTGTTTTAGTGTAAATAGAACTGGCAAAGTTTGAGTAAAAGAACATTTAAAGCTTGGTAAGGTTTTTGTTCAAGTTGTCATTGTTCTAAGTTCAAATACAGCAGAAGCTTGATGAGTTTTTCCTGCAGCGTAAGGGAGATTTTAGGTCAGAGATCGTGACAACACAAATGATTCTTTCTTTTCAGGTCTAAAGGAGAGCATGAGGCAGGCCGAGCTCAACAACTGGACTTTGGATGCCGCTCAGATTGCGGACCTGTGCTCCTTGATTAACCAGTTCTTCACAGCCACGGGAGTCATCCCTCCTCAGGGTGCCACCCACCCCCAGCCTCAAGTCCAACACGGAGCAGCAACGTCGGCGCCGCAGCTCCCTGCTCAGCCGCACGGGGCCATGCACCCGAAACCCAACCACCACAATCAGCACGGGCAGCACAGACAACACATCGGCACGGGTCGGCCCACACGAAAACACATCTACTCTTATTAATAAAACTCCAGCCTTACTCGCACTTTTACTTTGGTGTCTAATCAATAAAGGACAAGAAAAGAGATGAAAAAAGGCTCAAACTAAACAAACAGGAAGCGTACAAATCAGAAAAGGTGTTTCTAAAGATTAAAGCATCTAAGTAATTCTATATTTATTTCTTTTCCTTTCATAGCAGGCATTCAGTGTATTTTCACGGCCTGTTTTGTTGTGATAGAGGCTTCAGTTCAGGCTGAATATTTTATTCTTGCTCAGTAAGCCCATACCGTGCTTTTATATTTTTTGCCAGGGAATTATGACTGTTGTCTGTTTTTAAGCCACTGTACGTAGAGCATGACAACGATGGTGGAGCTTTCATCACTGAAGGGTCCTCTGACTGACTCGAGAGTCTGTACAGTTTATCTGGCTCAGCATAAGATGGCAGCGTGATGTGTGTGTGTGTGTGTGTGTGCGTGTGTGATATATGATAACAGTTTGTGCTCTGCAAAGACAAATGTGTGAAGTTCGGGATACTAATCTGACAGTTAGTCACTGCCCTTTTCTCTGTTCTCTCACAGGGAACATGTACATGGACTCGAGACAGAACATTTCTCCTCTAATGGGTCCACCCGGATATCCTCACATGCCTCCTTTGAGTAGCACGGCGCCCAACATGACAGGTGACTCCCCCCACCCCGACGGGTCAGAAGAGTGTGGTAAAATGCTAGCAGACGAAAGTTTAAAGCAATRGCTCTGATCTCTTGGAGTGGGCTTCTGTGGAAAAGTTACAAACAATGAATATCTTACCTGCTTGACATCTAGATAGYTCTCAGAAGGGATTCTATAATTATCACCAATGAAGGTGGATGATAATGTTCCTGCTTCTGTTATTTTATTTTATTTATTTATTTTTTTTGGGTGATGGTGTGTGTGTGGGGGGGGTGTTCTACATATAAATACAAGTAAAAGACATTAACCAAAATTTATTTAACTATAACACAAATAATTTTACAGATTTTAAGCTAACATTTGATTTGGTWGTAGGTAAGAATGATCCGCAACAGATACTCTTTCAATCAATATTGCGTTAGGTTTAATTAAGTATAATTAAAACTGATACAACTCCATCATTTCTTATAATAAGATGATCGACGATCAAATTTTCWATTCGGAACCGATTTTATTATGCAGACGTTGCTTGTGCGTGTATAAAATCGACGACTTTTTGTACCACAGAGTKATTAGTAGTCAGAATTTTCTCCATGACAATATTTAATCAAAATGTTTTGTTTTTACACACAGGTCATCACAGCCAGTTGACCCACCACCAGCAACACGGACTGCCTCCAGGACACTTTCAGGTGAGACGCTTGCTTGCCGCTGAYGACATCCAGGAYGACTTTGACTGGGACTCCATTGTCTAAASCGAGGGAGGGATCTGAAACAAGAAGAGGGAGTGGAGACCACTCTGTGGGACCATAGTGACATGTTGCTACAGAGGTGTCCAACCTGCTTTGTCCACCTGTGTGAAGGAAAACAGATGACAATCCAACTGAGAACAAACGGAAAGTAGTTTTTAAAATGATGTTGGACTTCTTTTTTTTTCTAATGTAAGAGGCTGATGAATCTAAAGACAATCATTGTAAAACCCAGAGGACAGACGTTTAAGCTACGTGGGACAAATCCCGGAGGGAAACACGATGTTAAAAAAGTTACAAGTCGCCAAAGTGTTGTCCAATCTTCTGTGAGTTGTTTTCTTTTGATCTCAAATGTGTTTCCTGCTGCAGCTTGTGTCCTGTGTCTGCAAAGATTCACCACCCATGGAAGAAATGAACGGGAAAAGAGAAACTCTAAAGCCCCTGCAGATCAGATGCATTTCATGCCAAGCATGYCCAGATATTTCAGCTTTTTCTTCCTTATAATAATTTCCTCACCCTGTTACTAGGCCTCTCTAAATTGCCGTGACTCTCAACCAAAATTAGGGAGAAAAAAAATAAAAAATTCTAAGGCTGAGTGGAGCACCACCTGCTGGTTAAAACCAAAACAATTTAGAGTCATCTTGAAAACAATTTTTTGCCACAATCTGTGTTTCTTTTGTCTTTATTGGGTCAGTTTTTTTCCCCAGCTTAGTTTATGCCATAATTTTATGCGATGCAGTAGTCCATAGTTCCATGTTCTCAGGGTGGAAAGCTCACATACATTTTCACATCTGTTCTATTTCTATAAATATTTGAGGTTAACTGTGTGCCGTGTGGTGCTGTCAGTGTTCAGATCCTATTTGCTTACAGCGAGCATCTTTTTAACTGTCGTCGAAAGGGTCAAAATCTGTATTTGTCAAGTCTATTAGCTAAAACAAACAGAATACTGTGGATTAAGATTTTAGTAAAACCTAAGAATTGCCACAGATTTGGATTATAAACAAGGCACAAACCAGATTTGGATTTTTTTTCCACATGAAGTCCCAGATTCTTGGTATATAACGTAGTTTTAATTTCTTACGCTTCTTTCATAAATTTAAATTTGACTAAGTAAAGGAAGTYGGTAAAGATTTCAAGATGCCTCATTTAGAGAGAAAAGAAGCAGATTTTGCACAACATCAAGCTGGATAGCATCTAAGTAAAAAATGAAAGAAGTATATTTAAAAAATATTTTTTTTATTTCTTTGTTTTAAAAAAATCAACAAAGCAAAGACAAAAAGCTTCTCTTTGTTTTTAGTGATGTTAATTTTGTCTGTGTACTGTTGTCTGATTTCCTTTAGCATACAAGTGTACAGCTTTATACAGCCGGAAAAAAAAAGAAACAAATTTATTTCTTTCTATCAACACTTCAAGTTCTTATATTTTCTACAGTGAAATATAGATCTTAAAGTGCTATTTGATTTGGAGGATCTCTGTGATTTTTCACCTGGTCAATACAATGTTTCATTGTAGAGCGTTAGAAAAAAAAAGTTAAATACCTGTTATTACCATTTGATGCTGTATTGCAGTAACCAGCATATGTATATCCTATGTTTTGTGTGACGTTGTCCTTGTAAATAACAGTCCATTACTCCTCTGTTTGCCCTTGAAAATCACAGACTGATTAAAAAAAAAAAACAAAACAAAGAAAGCAGCAAACAGAGACAGTGTTTTGTAATTGGACCTTCAGGGTTTGGATCATGTACATATTTTCAGCATATCATAAATAAGTGATTTGAAAAAAAAGAAGAAAATACTGGCTTTGGCGTTACGTGTCATAAATATTCTGTGTGTGGCGGTTCAACTGTTAAGAATTCTGTCAAGTGTTTATTAAAATGTCATGAGCCATTTTTACTGCACTTMGCGCTGCAACTGCTGCCCTTATTTCATCAGCTGTTTGCCTCTTTGATTTACAGCTTCTGCATGTCTTTTAACACGATGCGTTGTTTGTGCTGCCTTTGAAACGCAGGTTTAAATGGGATTTGACAGGAGGAAACAAACGCAACTGGGGGGTTGGTGGAGGCRAGGCCGTTGGATAAATCTACAGTCGCTTTTATGCGGTTTCCCCCAACCCGTCGCTTGTTGTCCAACAGGTGTCAGCCAAGTTCCAAGCAACACTCTTGTTTGTTTCCCACTRCATTACTGTAATTTCAACAGACCAGACCAAAGTTACACCGTGTCCAAACCGTATCAGATCCGTTTCACTGGGTTGTAAGCAGCACACTCTAGCCATATGAATAAGTTGAAAAAAAAAAACTAAAGTAAAGCTTTAGATGATCAGTCATCTGTCACATAGTGCTGCTCTGGTACACTTGGTTTCTATAAGCAGTTACATGCATCAAGTGAAGCTCTGCTGCAGCCACTTAATTGGCTCCATGTTTATGGTTCAGGGTTGCTTAAAGGAACCAAATGTTCTGAAACCAAATGTYGCTTTAGCTCTGTTGTTGTATAAGCTAAAGACCACGTGGTTACTGTTCTGTCTTGATAAGCTAAGTCACCTCTGAATTTATCTGTGTGTTTGTAAAAGTGTGCAAACTGCTGATATTGCAGACTTGGCTGGCCTGGCCGTGCACCAAAAAGGAGAGAGAGTGCGTCTCACGCCGGCCGGACCACCTTTACAGCCCCTTTGCCCAGAAGAGCCTCCTCCCAAAGCCTAACCTGCCTCCCGCTCCCCCAGGCTGCCCGCCCACCAGTACCAGCCCCCCTCGCTCGTGCGCACCCACTCTTCTCTCTCTCTCTCGTGCGCTGGTGTGCCATTCCCTCCCTCTCCCTACACTTCCTCAGAGTGGTCAGAGCTCCTCTCTTTTCTTCTGTCCTCTCCACATCCTTCCACCTTCCCTTGTCTCTTTTTTTATTTTATTTTATTTTTTTGCTTGTCTGTTTTAACTTCCACAATTTTACCCAAAATCTAAACTGTTGTCTCTTTCTCCAGAAACTTTTTCTTCTTCTTTTACCTATTTTTTGGGGCTTTGTTTTGAGGGGTCTAGCATCCTCTCCCTGCGGTTTGTGTCTGGAGTCTCTGGTGCCGCGCTCTTTGCCCTGTGAGGGACTCTCCCATCGGTTCTGAGAGGAGACAAGACTTGAGGACGAGTTTTCAACACAATGAAAGTTCAGCTGCTGCTCCTGTTGGCCCTGGTTGGCCCTTTCACACGTGCAAGTAAGTGTACTCTCTTTCACTGTCCTGCCGTTAGCACACTTTGTCCCCTCTCTGCCTCCATGTGCCCTCCATACACCACTCTTTGTTTGCTTTATCCTCTTCTGAATGAAACACTTCAGGCGGCGGATTCAAACGGAGGCAGAGGAGATCTGGTTTTATTACCTGTTCACTGATAGGATGATTTTGCTTGCTTCGTGCTAACAAAAATGTTATAACATCTTTAATTGTTGGGTTTGCCTAGAAAAATGTCCTAAAATTGCATCAGGCAACTCAGGCCTGTATTCCTATCTTTGACTTCCACCTCATCTGAAAATCAGTGAGTGCAAAAAAAAAAAAAAAGCAAAGAAACTTAGTGAATGAGGTAATATTACAAAGAGGGGACAAAAAAGCATTCAAATAAACACAATGTGTACATTTAACAGCAAACCTCTCCTGCTTTGTGAGATTTCTCGCAGGATTTCGCACAATTTCTCACCTCTGAACCCAGCCAGACAAAAGGAAAGGTTTGATTTTCTGCCATAAAGGAAAAAATAAATAAAAGATGTAATAGAGGGAGCTCTGCTGCCTTGTGTCTGTAAACTCCTGGCACTGCTGAAAAGAAGAAAGGAATATCCTTTGGAAGCCTCCCAAAACAGATCCCATCTGCAGCAAGGGGTGGTGTGTGTGTGCGCGTGCATGCGTGTGCGCGTGCATGCGTGTGTGTGTGTGTGTGTGTGTGTGTGTGTGTGTGTGTGTGTGTGTGTGTGTGTGTGTGTCGTGGCTGTAAACTGTAATGTGCACACGTTTCTTCACAAGCCTTCATCTCATTTTACTCCCGGATCTCTGGTGTTGCAACTTTGGCTCTTTCCTCATTTTGTTTTTAAAAAATAAGAATTGTTTCCCTCGCATTTTCTTCTGCTGTCTCCTTTTGTATTCACCAGCGCTCCCCTTCCTAAAGAAATAGACGTGCACCGGCAGTGTGAGGGGTGTGAGGGAGCTGTAGGGCAGGGCCGTGCTGGTTTGACTGTGTGTATTAATAGTGAGAGGCTCTATATTTAAGAAGGTCATATGGACGGGGGGAAAGGAGTGAGAGACGCTAGCTCCGAGAGTTACTCCACCCTTCCTTTCCTGTGTTGGTAAACCGTTGGACGCGCCACCTCTTGGCATTTACCCATCTTTGGAGGGGTGTCAACCCTTTGCCACTTAAGATCCCCCTCTCCTGCCTCTCCCCCCCGCCCCCTTGTTTGCCAGCCCTCCTCCTTTTCGTACAGCTCTCTGCCTCCTTTCCCCTGTTTCAGCCTGATGAGTTTAACCCTGGGAGTTGGTGTAGACACCGGGGAACAGAGTAGATTTGTTTTTGAATGATTATCTTAACTAGCGGATGGACCTGCACCATTTACGTTGGGGGGTTTCTTCAGGAAAAAAAGGTGTTTCAACTCTTAGAGGAATGTTGTCTACCTTTTAAGATGAACAAAAAAGTCACTCTTACTTCACAAGTGAAAACTGTTAGTGCCACTTAAAACTAAACTGAACTAAAAGCCCAATATGAATTGCGTAAACGCCTCCTTCCTTTCACTCCTGGACCCAACCAATTCCCAGGTCTCCATCCTAATGAGTTTTGTCTGCCTCGGTGGCCAAATAACATCCTGATCATATCTGGCCAACGAGGTCAGTGCCTTTTGTTCATGCCCGCTCTTAGAAATTATTCAAATGTTGTGTTTAGCTGGTAATATGAGACACATTCCATTAAAAAGCGGAAACGCGAGCTATTTTCAGTTCGAATGAGTCTCAATTTGAGGAGGTGAAGGAAGTGCTCTGTCTTTTAGCTTTTTAAGAAAGAGGTTGCTACAACCGTTTCTGCAGCTTTTTGTAATTGAGCGGAAATCAGAAGCAGAGTTTCTCAGACTTCTTTAAGGAGAAGTTTTTGGGGCCTGTGAGCACTGCCATGTGAGCATAAAAAGAACTGAAGGTCATCAAAGTTAGAGTTTTAGAGTTTGCTTAAAAAATAATGTCGTTAGGGTCGTTGTTTTTGGGAACAAAGGAAGAGAACTGAAGAACAACTTATTTATTTAGCCGTTACTGCAGTAGTTTCCTGTGTCTCACCACTCCTGATCTGGTTCATTACATTGTCAAAATGCAAACCTGGAGGGCATGAGATTAAAGGCCCATTTGGTCTGATGGCAATTTCTGCCCCTGGTGATGAAGACCAGATGGGTCCTGCTGAAGGTCCTCCTTATCGAGACGAGGAGGAGAAAAACATCAGCTCCTAAGCGAGTACGGACGCTCACTGTGTTGCATTTCTGATAAGGCCTTTTGAGAATTTTCCACTTTGACCTACCCCTCGTTTGAAATCTCCAGTGCGCTTTACGCTGTACGCCTCAGTATCTTTAGAGATGTCTCTTACTGGTTTTGTGGGGGAGGTTCATACGATACGGCCTCTCATATTAGTGCTACGTCAGGGACAGGGTGTCTGTATCTTTATCAGGTCCCTCCTTTAGCGTCATGAAAACATTCCCGAGCTCCAAAGGTGGGTTCGCTCACACTCCCCTCACAGCGTCTCTCCCTCCCACACTGAGCTGTGAATTTACACACAGACACACACAAACAGGGCCCCCCGCCAGAGGCAGCTGATTGAGATGGGATCTGTAGTTGGAAGCTGTTTTTATGCCTCGTTCTCACCTTAACTCTTAATATAGTTTTATTTTTGTCAAGCAGGAAACATCCTCACATGGGTGCCCTCATGTCTGTCAAACTTCGTTATTTTTATTTTTATTTTGATGCTGTGTTCATCTGAACACGTCTCCCTTTTTTATTCAGTAATTTTCCCGTTTGAAATGCACTTCACCCTTCCCTTCCCGTTTATCTGCTTCACTTTTCAGGGAAACTGTTAAACCATAATTATTTGTGGTCCCAGATTTAATGTGATACATTAGCATCAAATTGCTTTTTGTGTTTATAAAAGCCGTTGGACCTTAATAGGTTTTTGTTAATGTTAAAATTCATAGGTTCACACACTTGTAATATGAACTGAATGGCCTTTGCTTCAAACTGCTTTCTTTTGGCGTGTTTTATACTAATAATGATAACGTCAGTGTCCCACTATATACCACTTTTTAAAACCGAGGTTACATGAAATGCAGAAAACTAGATGAAATTGCTCACAAGCAAACACGAAAAACTACAATAAAACAACACAAAGGAGGGTCCTAAAGTAGGTCAATTAACTACAAAAAGACTTTGAAATGATCTTCAGCTGTGGTTTAAAGGCTTCAGGAGGGTTTTCCATCTTGACTTCTCGGGGAATGCTGTCCCACTGTCCGCAATTTGACAACAAATGCAAAATCCCCTCATGTTTTCAGAGAGAGGAACAACTAGAAGGCTTTGGAAGACGTTTAATGTTTTACAAACAAGAATTTGAATTTGATCAGAAGCCAATGAAAAGACACAAGGACTGTGGTAATATGAGAGCAAAGCTTGGGCTTGATGATTCGTCCAGCAGCCGAGTTAGCTTTGGACCAACTGTAAATTGGGAACAGAGTCTTGGCATAAACAGAAATGGAGAGAATTGGATTCCTCAAGGCATAATGATACAAGAACCATCATTTATTCATATGTAATCCCTGAGAAGTCTAAGTTTTTAGCTGATTATTTTGTGTGAACAGCTGAAGAACCCAAAAGAGTGATAAATCTAATAAAATCAGAAACACTTTACGGCAAAAATCAAAACATTGGTTTTACTGGGATTAAACTAATCTTAGCCAAGCAATTGAGAATAACAACATCTCACCAGGCTTTAAGAAAACTACTGTGACAGAGATGACTCTCAGCTACTAACACCAAATTCTATCTCAATGTCTGTAAAGTTCACTGAGTCATAGCAGTTTATGTGCTTGCTAAAGTCAGTTAGGCTTGACCGGTGGTTCCCAAAGTTGGGATCGTGACCCAACTGTGGGTCATGAAGCATAAAGTTGGGGTCTTTGGACAATCACCAGAAGTCAAATCAAAGGTAAAAGATTGGTGATGTAATATTTCTCCTATAATTAGTACAAAAATATTTAGAATAACCATAAAAAGGAAAAATAGTATAGCTGTTAAAGCGGTTTGAATTGTCACTAAGCCCTTGCTTATAAGGGTTACTGTCAAAGTTTGAGCACTCAGACCAGTAATATTTGGGGTCAAAAGCCTCTGCCATGGATATTTTGTGGGTCAGAAGATGAAAAGTTTGGGAGCCACTGGGCTTGGCACTTTATAATAACTAAACCTTATTTAGCCGTACCTAATCATTAAAGTATGTTACTTAACCTTGAAAGCATCATTAATTGAGTACTATTCATACTTAATACACTATACATTTTTTTATTTGTTAATGCTTTACCCATAAAGGCTAATTACTTCCATAACTAACATACTTATTGTTTATTCATGCTTAACAACTCGCCTATTCCATATACTGTATGTATATGCTCATATATGTATACTCTCATATAAATATACTTTCATACCATGTGTTAAACATGTATTAATGGTTAGAGAAGGTTTAAATTGACTATGATTTTGGTCTGATTTCCACAGGTGAAAATAGAGTCGGTTCTTTTAAAGGTTTCAATAACAACAAAGCCATAATCTCAGGGAGTGTCAGGGTCATGGAGAGACAAATGAGAAGCAGATTAAAACAAAAAAAGGCAGGACGTATGCTCCTCTGTAAGGCAAGTGTTTTAACCCAGAAGGGTCAGAGAACTCTGTGCTAACTGTGAGAATTGGRCACATAATGAAACAGTTGTTACTTGGTGGGTTGGGTGATTACACATAGTGTGCAGCCATACACTGTGAAGCGCAGACGATTATATCATTGCTTACAGACGTTCCAAACAAACTGCCACCCCCCCACCCCCCAAATGGTTCTGCGGCAGTGGGAACAAATGTTTTGTTATATTTACCCTGCCTAATGAAACCACAGCAGGTCATTCGGGGTTATTTTTTGCTCTCATAAAACCTCCTCCATTATTTCAAGTATTTAGAAGAACCTGGATGAAGCAGAGATGGAGAGACCATGATGTCAGTGTCTAAGTTTGGATGACACACTTTCCTGCTCTTAACTGAAAGAACRTTTTGAGGGATGAGTAGGTTTAAACAGACTTTACTTTTCCAAAGAGAAGACGAAGCGATCTCTAGCCAACTACTTTTTGTGTGTGTGTCAGTGGAAAGTTGATTGCGGACTGTAATTTTGGTGCCCCGCTGAATTCTACCTCCTTAATTTCAAAGCAGTGCTGAAAGTAAGGCTTTGCTTTCAGTTGTGGCTGGAGCAACGTCGAACATGGGAAGATGGAGTGAGAGTTATTAGAGGCAAATGATTAGGTTGAAACTAGGTCAAGCTTTCAAATTTATGTCTTTATACAGCTGGGAAGAAATAGGAGCCTCTCTTCACTGTGTGCGCAGAAAAAGGCCTTTAGACATAAAAAAACAAGAACAAGTTGAAGTAGACAGATCTTTTTTTGTTTACATTTCAACCTCTTTAGTGTTTCAGACCACTCTTACTATATTTGATCCCCTGTTGCATCAGCTYCTTCTTGGTTAAGTTGCAAAGAAAACTGTGCTTTTCTTACATTTTAGCTCCTTCCACAGGAGATGAGGCAGAGGATGTGGCATTCCACTTCACAAAGACACAAATTTTAAAGACAGGATGGGAGCGGGTGGAGGAACTGAAGGAGGATGTATGTTTTGGGAGGTCATAGGGTGGGGTGTGCTGTGCTGCCTTGGCAGCTGTGCTCAGATGATGGGGCAATTGTTTTCAGAGAGCGTGCAGGCTTTTTTTTTTATTGCACCCATCTCTGCAAACTTGGGAACTTCTGTGTCAGATGCCATTTTGATTTTACAATTGTGCTTTATGCGACTGTTCAAAGAGGGCGAGGACAATGGCTCAGCCGGCTTGGTGGATTGCTGCTATCATTTGAAATTCTAATTCATTCTCTCCTCATAACACTTTGAGGTGATGGGAACATAACCAAATATAATAACATGCTCATTTGTCTTGCCTAACAGGGCTGTGAGAAAATGTTTTATTTTATTTATTTATTTTTTACAAATACTGTACAACATCTAACCCTTGAGCAAATTTGTGGCCACAGTGGGAAGTAAAATATCTGCAGATCCGTTCTGCCTGAACCAGTCAGAAAACAGAAGGAAGGATTTGCATTAAAAAATATTTATGATGTTTTGTTGTTCTTGGTCTCCTCAGGCCCCACAGGACTTTACAGCACTGCGACTGGAGCAGATGTCACCCCTGCAGCTGAAACTGAAACAGTGGACCTCACCGGTCCTTTTACAGCCACATCAGATGTTSCAACTGACGCCGTGGATAAAACCACAAGCTCTACCGCGGTCGCTACCGAAGGGACCACAATAGAAGCTGAGACTATCACTGACGCGTGGACCACGTCGTCGGCGCTCATCACTTCAGCTCCCGACGTCAAGACTTCAACTCCCACCGAGGAGACCACGACTACTGTTTTACCAACTGCTGAGGAGACCACGACCGCTGCTGTCGCTGCAGCCGAGGAGACCACGTCACCTGTCGCGGCTCTGCCCGAGGAGACCACAGCTCCTGCACCAGAACCTACCGATCCTACAGTGGACGAGGTCCTAGTTGCTGTAACGGAGATAAACAGCACGGGTGAACAGGTGAACATCGAAGAAAGCACTGAGAGTGAGGGTGAGGAAACGACTTTACAGTGATCAACACATAAAACAAACTAAATCCAGGGTTCCCACAGGTCCTTGAAATCCTTGAAAGTTTGTGAATTTGAAAAAATTATTTCAAGGCCCTGGAAAATTTGTTAAAACAGCCAAAAATTACACTTGTCTTTGAATGGGGATTGAAATTCTCTGTTCACATGACAGATTTTCATCATCTTTTAAAAAAAATAAATTATAAAAAAATAAACGTACATTGGATAACTATGTATACAACAATGTGGATAACTCAGGATTACAGTAAACTAACGTCATTGATTCTGACTCAACAACTTCTTTGTTCAGTTTTTCATTGAATTTACATGATATTAAACCTGTTTATTGGCRACATTCTGCAGTAGGTAATTGCCGTTGCGCATGGTTCTTTAATTTGAGGAAACTGGTACTGGAAAGTCCTTGAAAGGTCCTTGAATTTGATRTTGACCAAGGTGTGGGAACCCTGTAAATCTAAGAGATGTTTTTAAAGATATACTGTATAAATGAAACTTTTCTTTCGCAGAAGGCCTGAGCTCTGGACAGATAGTCGGCATTGTGATCGGTGCCATCCTCGCTGTGGTGATTGTGATCGCTGTGGTGTTTGCGTTTGTGAGGAGGATGGGCAAATATTCGTAAGTACTCATATACTTTATATATTTGTGCATACTGTACATACAGCAAACACTGAGCGCATGAGCCAGGTGAGAGTGACGCATTCAGTCAGAGTGAGAGTGAGGAAGGCGTCTTGCTTCCTTTCAATATGGAGCCAAGAAGGACGAGCATTTAGTCACTATTTCCACAGTCACATTACATCATAGRTAGTGATGTAATGGGACTTGTTGGTCTGCGTGATAAGACGATGCTGGATGCCCGACACAAACTGTTACAATGTTTCRACCATAAATGGTTTCAGGGTGTTGGAAACCAACGTTAACCCAGAAAACAAACTGGTGGAACTAATTCCTCAAGAACACGCCCTGCCCTGTGAGATYGTGATGATTATCAATAGTTCTGTTTTTCATAGGTCAGCCAAGAGCAAAAAAAGGGGTTGAATTGAAACACAAGATTATCGCTCTTTTTGATTCTCTCCGCTAATAAATTTCCAACTCCTGTTCATATTTCTGCCAACAAGTTTCTTCCGTTAAAAACAAAACATGTTTGTATCCATCCTTTAACTGACGCACAGTCTCATGCTCTGGGAGTGAAGAATCAGGCATTCATGGTGACAAGTGGCTCTGTTTGACCTGTAAATTATTTTGTTAATTGACTCAGTGTCAGTGTGCGTGGCCAGTGGTCATCGTGTAGGCTGATTTTTTTTTTTTTTTTTTTATTAACAGCTTGATTTTATCCTCAGAAACAGAGAGCTTGTGTTTGTTGGACGCGCGACTGCAAACTAGAGTCAACAATTTGTCTTTCTTTGACTCCTGGAAACTTAAGGTCAAACTTCCTGTAATTCTTGACATTAAAAGAAATATTACGTCATTTTTAAATCCAGACGTTTACATGTACTGAAATGAAAAATACGTTCTAAAAGCATACATAAAACTGCTACTTTTTTTTATTAGGGATGTAATTGATTCATAATCAATTTTAACTGCTTAAAATGTGAATCAATTCATAAAAATGAATGAATCGATTTCATTATTGCAATTCAGTTTGATACTTCTGGTCACACAAAGGTTTGTGATGACATTTTTATTTATTTTAAAGATGCTACTAAGACAACAGACAGTTTCATACAAGGACAAAAAAGTTGATGTTAAAATAAAAGACACATGTTTGGTTTTAAAATGGCTACAATTCATTTTGTTGKGGGRAAAAAACAAAGAAAATAATCTTAATCATGAACTTAAAACCGATAACTGAATCGAATCGGGGCTTGAGCGAATCGTTACATCCTTACTTTTAAWGGAATATTTAAATCTGTTTTTCACCTATTCATTATTTTTGTTTACATCTTTGTGCCTTCAAGAGGCAACAAAAGGATATTATAAAAATACACTGAACCCACCAAATAACTGACTTGGAAATAAGCTAATTTTATTTCATCCAACACAGATACAAATATACATTTTTTTTCTGCCTAAATTCTCTGATTGGTTTTCTCTTTTTCTCCCACAGACCTTGAGGGAGAAGCTGACCAAGCAACGGGATCATGTAAAGTTCTGGAAATTTGAAACTACTGAACTGTGACGCTGATTTTGATCCTATACACAAAGATATACAAAAAAAAGCACAAAACCAGAACTAAACTAATCAAAGTCGGAGTCTGAACTGTTGCCAAACCAAGAGGTGCAAGAAGGTTTGTTTGTGTTGACGTATGTGATGCATGTACTGTATTGTTTGCGAGACAAGAGTGGGGGGGCACGAGCCAACATCCTCGTGCCCCCCCCTGCCACCTCTGATATTAAGGAGCTGCTGACATTAAAGGCTCTGCCTTCCCTTATTCCCTTGAAGAGAACAAAACAAAGTGACAGCAGGAAGTCACAAAGATTTTTTTATTTTCTTCCAAAAGCATTTTGTCGAATAAAAATGAAGAAACAAATCAACTGACATGTGGGAAGGGGTGTTTCTGTCCTTTAAAACGGTGGAGTGACAGACTTAAATTACTGTTAAAGCAGGGAGAAAAGCATTTAAATGACAAAGTGTGTGACGTGCACAGAGGCTGAGAATCCAAATCAGGAAATACTGTTGCAAATCCACAAGATTCATGTATATACAACGCAGGGGCTCTATAGCGTAAAGCAAATGACTCTCATGTTTTTACAGTTGCATAGCCTAGCTTTTTGATATTAACACGCACTATATACAGTAAACTGTAGACTTGTTTTTTTTTTTTTTTGTAGCTAAAACATCTCAGTTCAGTTTCCCTTGCAGTCAGAATACCTGACACGTCGGCCAATCGTATGAAGCACGGTGTGCAGACGTTCCCACAACACGGGTGTGCTCTGAGTTGACGCGGAACAGAAAAGGCACCCTCGTTTGCAGGAGTGACACGACATTCTGCTCACTTTTAACACAGACTCATAAAAACCTGATACACATCTGTGAAATTCAGCAGAAGGGGTTTGTGCCACTGTCTCTGTCTTGCTCGCAAGGATTCAATAGTGGGACTCAACTTTCCTATTTCTTTCTCTTTTTTTTTTTTTTGGTGCAAAAAACTTCTACACGGATAGCTTTTTTTACTCTGCCAGCAGTTGTTAGACGCAATTACTGTGATGTCATGACAATGTAGTTCTTCTGTTGTTTTATTACAAGAACATCCACCCAGTCATTAACCCTAGATTGTACTCACATTTACATTTAATAGCTGCACTTAGTTCTAGTGCACAGTTTTCAGAAGTATGGCCTGTTTTGTTACTTCTGCAGTTATAGCTGTGTTAAATTAGTGTATAAAAAAAGAACTCGTAACTTGTCCCTGCGTGCTTTTAAAAACAGTATTTAATATGTGCACTGAATGAGTGGAGTAACATTTAATGAATAGGCTTTAGACTCTGCAAATGTTTGCAGTGAAATGTTTTCTTCTGCTTTCGCGTTGGTTTATTTTTATGTCTTTAATTTGTGCTGTCTGATTCATGCAAACCTTTTATTTAATTGCAGTTTTCTTTTTTTTTTTGTTCATACTGTTTCAATAAAACAGAAAAATGTTTCGTAAAGAGCTCTTCTTTGTCTGTTTACTGTGGAGACAGCTAAAAGTGAACACCAGCGCTGTTACGCTCACTTATATTCTTGTGACCGTTAGAGTCTCATGATTCAATTTTTCTTTCTTATTTCCAAGCGAAGTATGCAAACATTAACAAGTTGCCCGGGGCTTCGTCCAGCTGCCCGCTCTGCTTGGCCGATTCAAGCAGCGTTTCAAATCCCCCTCAAAAAAAAAAAAAAAAAGAGGGAAAAAAATCCCCCTTTTTAAGCAGACAAACAGCACCAAATATGGAGGACGCACACGCTCAAGAAACGTTGAAACAGTTGGGCCCTCTGACAGTGAGGTGTGCTGTTTGTGCCATGTTTTGGAGATTTTTTTTTCTTCATGCTGTGCCGTTAAGCCGAGGCCAAACTCACAGAGATGCTCTGTGTCTGGCTCSTGGTCCTCCGTGTGGTTTTAGGCACCAACCCAACGCTCCCCCCCAACACCCCCACCCTACACTCTACCTCACCAGGGAGCTTCATARCTCCCTTTTAGCTCACTTTTTTTTCACCTCACTCTTCAGGGAACAATGGAGGCTTTTGAGAGGGGCGAATGGAGAGGCTGTTGGGCTCGCTCTCTTCCCTTCGGCAACGGGGGAATTCTGTACGTTGCTGCAGGGTGGAGTCACTTCCTGGGTGGGCCCAGCGTCCGTCATGTGCTTTTTTTTTGCACAAGCCATAGAAATAATAAATAATGAGTAAATAATTAGCAGTGCAAATGAAAAAACAAAGAAACAAATAAAACAACAGAAAGGCATGCAGCAGTGAAATGCCTTATTTATTGTATCATTAACTGTCCTTATTTGACGTTAGACTATTAGAAACTGAAAACGTCTGTGATGGATAAGCAATCTCTTTTGTTCTGAGCTAAACCATATTAACTAAAGAACATGAGTTTTATTGTGTGTCTGTTACTGTTCAGTCAGTGACAACCACATTAGCTTCAACAGGCTGTGTGGTACATTTCAAAAAGACAGATGTGTTTTTTTTAATGATTGTTAAAGAAGCTGTTGATTCCCAGTTATCACTAATTAATCCCAAAAGTATAAATAAAGCACAGACTGTACAATAGATCTGAAGAACTGATAATAAACACTGGTTAATTTAATTACAAATCTGAATCCCCCCCACGAAAAACTTCAGAAAAATGTCTGAAAATGTAACATAAATCCAGAGTTGTAAAGTAACTAAGTACAAATACTTTGTTACTGTACTTAAGTAGAAATTTTGGTTACCTGTACTGTACTTGAGATTTTGGTTACCTGTACTGTACTTGAGAAATTATTTTTCAGCTTACTTTTACGTCATTTTACATTTTCACCCAATTATCTGNTCAGAAAAATGTCTGAAAATGTAACATAAATCCAGATGTCTGAAAATGTAACATAAATCTAGAGTTGTAAAGTAACTAAGTACAAATACTTTGTTACTGTACTTAAGTAGAAATTTTGGTTACCTGTACTGTACTTGAGAAATTATTTTTCAGCTTACTTTTACGTCATTTTACATTTTCACCCAATTATCTGTACTTTCTACTCCTTACATTTATTTTAAAAAAAGGTAAAAGGTAGAAAGTCATCATCGTTATTGTTAAAAAAACACTATCCTGATAAATTGTGCCTCCTGAATAGAGTGAATTTAATTGTGGTTGGATGAGAAGTATAAATATATACCATACTGACACTGTATTAGTTTGTACACAATCCATTACAGATGCACACCTTTAAAAAAAGTTTTTTGGAGAGGTCACCCAATAAATGTATTTTGGAAAATCTAGGAGCTCGTTTTCAATCAAAACTTTTACTTTTAATACTTAAGTACATTTTATGCAGTGTTGTATAAAGTACCTCAAAGTGATACTTGAGTAAAAGTACAAGTATCTTATAAAAATACTTTGGTGAAAATACCTTCTTCTCTAAAATTATTACTTGAGTAAAAGTCTTAAAGTAACTGATAGTTTTTGTACTTAAGTATCAAAAGTAAATTTCTGACACAAAATCTACTTAAGTATTAAAAGTAAAAGTACTGAGTDMAWBDGAGCAGTTAGATTTTCCAAAATGACATTTATTGGGAGGTGACTTCTCCAAAAATATATTTTTTAACAGTGTGCAGCTGTGATGGGTTGTGTACAAGTTAATACAGTATCAGAATGGTATATATTTATACTTCTCATCCAACCACAATTAAATT